CAGGGATTTGATCAAGTTGGGTAGAATAAAGTTGCCAAATTGATCAAATCTTTATATGGGCTAAAGCAAGCATCGAGGCAATGGAATGAGAAACTCACTAATGTTTTAATCTAAAGGGGGTTTAGACAACACAAATATGATTATTCTCTTTTTATTAAACAAAATATGTTTGAAATTACTCTCATTTTATCCTATGTTGATGATCTAGTTGTTACTGGTAATCATATGAAGAGTATAAATGCAATTAAGCAATACTTGCATAAAAAAATTTAAGATAAAGGATTTGGAGAACTTGAAGTATTTTTTGGGAATAGAACTGGCAAGATCTGAATAGGGCATAGTCTTAACCGAAAGAAAATATACCTTAAATTTCATTTCTGACATGGGATTAAGTAGGGCTAAGCCACTTAGTATCCTAATAGAGCAAAATGTGCGCTTGTGTGCAAAAGGATGCGTGATTGATCAAAAGGAAAAGACAAAGGGAAAAAAAGGTTTAGATAAGAAGAAGAAAGAGGATCTATTTTTAAAGGACCTAACTTCTTATAGAAGATTAATAGATAGGTTGTCTTATCTTATCACTACCCGTTTTGACATAAGCTTTATTGTGTAGAATTTGAGCCAATTTATGAATGCTCCACGAAAATCTCACATGAAAGCTGCTGTGCGAGTAGTGAGATACCTGAAAGGATGTCCAGTAATGGAATATTGCTTTTTGTATCTCAAGAAAACACTTTGGGGTGTTTTTTAGACTTTGATTGGGGCACTTGTAGTGATACAAGAAGGTCAGTCACAAGCTATGTGGTGAAGTTTGCTAGTTCGCTGATCTGTTGGAAAGCAAAGAAATAGAACACTATTTCCAAATCTTCAGCAGAGGCAAAAAACCGAGCACTAGGATTAGCTGTTGCAGAAATTATTTGGGTCACTAGGATGTTGAAAGATCTTGGCTTGTATGATATTAAACTAGTCCAAGTATTTTGTGATAGTCAAGCCACAATTCATATTGCTAATAACCCAGTTTTTTCATAAGAGAACTAAACATATAGAAATATATTGTCATTTTGTTAGAGAAAAATTGCAACAAGGTTTGATTGTCTTGCAGCATGTTAGGACTAAAAAACAATTGGCTGATATGCTTACTAAAGCTCTTGGTAGAGAGAATCATGAAAGGATTCCGTACAAGTTGGGAACCATAAATTTATATGGTACCAAACTTGAAGTGGGGGTGTGAGAAATAATTAGTGTTGGTTCATTGGTTTGTTAGTTGGTTGTGTTGGCCTGTTGGTTTATGGGATATAAATAGACACATTGTATGAATTGTTTGTTGACTCAAAAGTAATAATAATACTTTGATTCTTTCATAATTTGGCTCTACAAAACTTTATAGATCCAATGGGTTGAGGGGAGTTATGAATTTATTGTTTTTCAACAATAAACAACAGTCTTTATTTTAATACCATTAGATCACAATCTAGTTATTAAGATCTATCAATTGAAGGGTCCTTTAACTAAGCGATCAACATCTCTCAAACAATATAAATCTTATGAGTATAATGTGTACAAGAAAAAAGGGAGAGATGAATTTTTTTCAAAAAAAGAACAATGTATTATAATTTTTTTAATACAAAAATATTGTATGGTGTATAAAATTTTAAGTAGTAGTACATAGTGGGGTTATTAAGAAATAGAAGGAGAAGAAAAAGATAAATTAAAATATGAGCTACTAAAATACAAAGCTGCCAAGAAGGTGATAAAGCTAGATGCCCAGTTGACCGCATGTTATATATGCATAATTGAATTGAGATGTTGAGCCGGAATCTTCTTTTATTGATCTCAGGCTTTGTATCTAATTACTGCAACAATTTTCATTTTTTTTCCTTTCTTTTTTTTAAAAAATAATTCTTAAACCTTTATAATTTTAGCCTGATTTTAATTCAATCTTTATTTTAACTTGTTGAAACACAATTCTTGTAATTTTAACTCGTTAAAACTTAATATTTATACATTAACTTGGTATAATGCAATTATATAATTTTAACAATTTAAAACATTAATCCTTAAGTTTCAAAAAATAAATTTAGTTTTTAATTTTTTTAAAATATATGGATCAAAATTTTAATTATATAATGAACTTGTATTAAGAAAGTGAATGTAATATTTATTGAAAAAATATAATAAAAAATTGTTTGAAATTATTTGAATATATATAGGGAAGGTCATTGGAGACTGGGAGGCAACAGTAGAGTAAAACAAATAATCTTAATTTCAATAAAGAGATATAGGAGATGGAAGACTGAATATAACACTTAAGAAAATTATTGAATGATATTTTTTAGTTAATAATATACCCAAATGCTTGGTTATTAATAGAGTATATATAATGATGTCTATATAGTGAAATAAGAGCTGCTATTATACAAGGACTAATATTTAAAATGATTAAAAATATAAAAATTAAATTATATTGAATTACAAATGAGGCAAAATTGTACAAATTAAATGATTAATTTTTTTTTTAATACACACGGCAGTCTGAAGTTGAGCCTAAACACGCACTTATGACTTATGGCCTATGGGTAGGAAAAAGGGATGTGGAATCCAAAGCTTGGTATGTCGCGTTTTTGACGAGGGTTATCGCTGGAACTTTGTGACTCTATAGATACTGTTCACAAAATTAATTCAAACTATTATTCTTTTTATTTTCCCCTCTTTTCGTTCCCAGGGGTGCATTTTAAAGTCTGAAAGATCTAATTAAGTAATTATACTTTACAAGATAAGTTTGTTGGTGAGCAGGTTGAGACTTGAGACCCACCCTGTGACCTACTTATGTAGCTGGGATTGAATCATTGAATATAAAATCGTCAATGATCGAACCATATCCAAATTGTTTTCTTATTTTTAATATTTGTGTTTTACTTGCTTTTCCGCATTTGCATTCTTAATAAATCTTTGATAAATTCTTGCCAGAACGATCGTATTCGTACTGCGCCTAGCCAATGACTCTCACTCCGCTTGGACGAACCAATTTAATTATTTAGCAGTAGGATTACTTTTACTCCTAAATTTATGAGTTAAATGAGAAATTTGTTTTTGTTATAAATATAAGGTCCCAGTTTCATTTATCTCTCTCCTTTTGTAATTTTTTTTTTCCTGAGCCACCTCTGTTGACTGTATGCATCAATACGAGTAGTTTTTAATATAATGATTAAAAGTAGAGATATTAAAAAAAACTATCCGTACGTTTTTTATAAATAATTAGTCTAATTACTTTTCTTAATATATTTGAATTACTTATTTAGTTGTGTTTCCTCGCACTACTACCACCTCCAATCTTATATATTAATCACTTTACAAGAAATTTGTAATCCAATATCTTTGTCATCTTAAATGAAAAGGTGAAAGCTTTTTTCGAAAATTACATTCATTTACAACTTTCAAGGACTTTTTTTTTAGAACTTATGCTATTAAATATGAATAAATTTTAAAAAATATTTTTTTAACCACTTTAATAACTTAATACATTTCATTAATTTTATAAGGGCTAAGGGTTATTTTAACCTTTAATTTTATCCTAAAGGTCATTAAGGATCCTAAAGTCAACTATGTATTAATTTTGTGTCTTAACTTTAAAGATTTGCTCACTTATCACTCTGACATTTTCTCACCATTAGTTGATCATTAATGAGCTTTATATTATATTTTTTTTAATTTTTTTATTATAAAATATTTGAGTTGAGGGTGTCTACTAACCTTTTGAATAAAAGTTATGGGACAAAAATGACTTTTAATTTAATAAAAATATTAAAAAATAGTAAGAGTCACTAATGAATAATGGACATTAAGTATTTTTAACGTCAAGATGAAAAATGAAAAAATTTTTAACATTGAAGGATATAATTGACTAATAATTAAATTTATGATTCATAATGACTTTTTTGAGTAAAATTGAGGAAGTAAAAATAATTCTTAATTTATTTTATTAAGATAATTAGATGTACTTTATATTTAAAGCGAAAGTATAGATCTCAATAGGAGTATTTATCGAATGGGACAAGGCTACGATGTGGTGATCTTATATTCCGCCTCAAAAATAGAATGAGATTGTATTTTTATAATCGAAAAATTCTAGTGAAGAAAAATAAAGGTAGAAGAGACAGCAGGAGAGGTAAGAATTGAGCAATGTGAAAAACTTATAGATTTAGTATTATACATTAAAGTGTTTGTTTTCAATTGAGTTGTGACACATAAATCTATGATGTATTATTTATTCTATAATAAACTTATTTTAATATTATTAATATATTAAAATTAATTTATTATGATTTGATTGGATGAAAACATATTAAATATATAAGATTAAGTAACCAAATCTTCCCCCTTCTTTAAGCCCAAAATAATACAAGTAGACATTTAAAAATCACAAATACATCACTTAAATTTATTGTTGAGTTACAACAATCACAACCTTAAAATGAAAAACACAATTCTCTTCTCAAAAAACTAATATAATTATCTATTTGGGACTAAATAATCTGATAATGAACTTGTGTCTCGTCCCTAATTTTTTTTTTTTAACTAAATTAGTTCCATCCTAAGATGATTAGAATGAAAATGAGTTGATTGAAATAGGATTTCTATAAATATCTCTAAATCATGGAAAAGAGATTTCTCCTTTTTTTTTAATCCTTCTTTTCTCTTCATTTCTCCAATCTTGATTATTTATATTATTTTTTTAAATAATTTTTATAATTATAAAATTAATGAAGGGTGAAAATTAGAGAAGCATAAGAAAAAGTAAGGTGAAAAAAAGAAAAAAAAAAAACCAAAACGAGAGATCCCTCTTCCCTAAATCACAGGCATCACAGGAAGAAGGAGGGGAGATGTGGTGGAATTAAAGCCTATAAAAAATGGCAACAGATTGGCAGTGTCACGTGGCACATACTAATATGATTAAAGTGCCCCTATCATTATTCCTTCATCTCACGCCTTCCATAATTTGGACTCCTCCTCTCTCCCTCTCTCTCTCTCTTCCTCGCTCCTCTTTCTGTCAGGCCACAGCAATGGATAATCATCCTACACCTCTCCTCGCCTTCATGCTTCTGAATTCCTTCTCCTCCAAATTTTGCTATATTTTAATCCTCAAATTATTCATAAATCTCAATTTTGTGTAAAAAACTTCCCTAGGTAGGAAGTCGTTTCCAGCCCGCCGCAGTGTGACTGAAACCAAAAGGCAACAACTAACACGCGGCCACACTTGAATGCGCTTCCTTTGCTTGCCCTGGCAACATTCTACTGTCCTGCCTTCAACCCCACCCCATTTCTTTCACAAGGCCCCCTCTTCTTCCTCCCCTCTCAATAGTTCTTACTTTTTAAAACCTCGCCCTGACTCTACATGCCTATCTCTCACTTTACCTGATCCTATCATTCACTCAGTGTTCCTGTGAATATACAGCCTCATCTACATTAATCAATCATATGCACGGGATTGCCCAAAAACGGTAAAATACGATTCTGAAAAACGACACTCCATCTCCCTCTATGACCCCGGCAAACATCCCGTCGTTTTAGCTTCCCTGTCTCCCATATTATCGAACACACGACTCGCCGTTTGCTTCCCCTCCCATCGTTGTCAACGACCGTCTCTCCCTTAAACTGCTCTGCTTCCTTTGCACATCTTCACACAATAAAGCCGGCACCTTATTTTCCACCGAATGTGCCAAGCAACTACCGCAACAATCCCCTGAACAATAAATTCCGGCGATGTTGCCGGAAATTCCAGCTGCTCCGCCGCCTTTTTCCTAACTCCTTCGTCGCTGGTGCTTCTTCTCCCACCCGCATTACCTGAATTGCAATGCCTCCGTCGTCGAACCCCTCCGTGAATCTGAAACAACGGATTTTCACGTGCCTCACCAAGCTTTCCGACCGGGATACCCAGTCGCTCGCTGCTGCCGAGCTTGAGTCCATTGCTCGGAACCTCGATCCGAGCTCTCTGTCGGTTTTCCTCTCGTGCATACACTCCACCGATGCGTCGGATAAGCCACCGGTTCGGAGACAATGTGTGCACGTCTTGCAGGTCCTGTCTGAGACGCATGGAAATTCGCTGTCCCCTTATCTTTCGAAAATTCTTGGCAACATAGTTCGTCGGTTCCGCGACCCGGATTCGTCGGTTCGATCCGCTTGTGTCAATTCCGTTTCGGCATTGTCGACTCACGTCACTAAGCAACCGCTTTCCTCTTTTCTAAAACCGTTAGCGGAGGCGCTGTTCACCGAGCAAGACCATAATTCGCAGATGGCCGCGGCGCTTTGTTTGGCTTCTGCCATTGATGCCATTTCGGATCCGGAGCCGGCGAGATTGATGAAGCTCTTGCCCAGGTTTGAGAAGTTACTGAAGTGCGAGGGATTTAAGGCAAAGCCGGCGCTGTTGACGCTGATCGGAAGCGTTATTGAGGTCGGTGCGGCAACCAGTCCGGGGGCTTTGACGAACTTGGTTCCTTGTATGATGGAATTCTTGAGCAACAAAGATTGGGCTGCAAGGAAGGCTGCGTCCGAGGCGTTGATGAAGTTGGCGATAGTGGAAAGGGAAATGCTATCAGAATACAAGGCGAGATGTTTGAACGTTTTCGAGAATCGACGATTCGATAAGGTTTTGACATACGACATTAAAATTTATTCTTCTTTCTTCCTCTGATCACAGCTCTGATTTCCCTCCCGTGGTTGTTAATTTATGGTAACTTGAAAGTGCATTGAGTCTGTATCTTGTTTGATTCAGGTGAAGGTTGTTCGGGAAGTTATGAATCAGATGCTGGAAGCGTGGAAGCAGATACCTGATGTTTCCGATGAATTTTCTCCACCTCCTCAATCGCAAGCTTCTTCCAAAGGTATTAATTTTCTCAACTAGCATTTGTTTTTGTCTTTGAAATAAACGGAAACTTTTCTTTGGTTGCTGTTGAGCTTTTACAAGAGGAAATGGCGTTCATAATACGTAATTATCTGATCTTACATCATATCAAATATTGTCTTTAACCTGAAATTCACTGAGGTCATCAATTTGCCTGTGTCTGTTGATTGTTCAATCATTCTTGGATGCGGGTTATCTCGGATTCAGAGAATGCAAGTGATGGGCGCTATCCTCCAGTCGTGCAGAGTTCATGCGCACCTGGTTCTGTTGTGTCGCCGTTTCGGAAAAAATCCATTCCAGCTAGCAGATCTACGCCACCGGACAGCTATACTGCTAGCAAAGCTAAGAAGAATAGTCCCTTAAGTAGTAACAAGAGAATGAACTCAAATGTGCGGCGAAAGCTGAATCATAAGAACTGGGATGTTCAAATAACTGTGCCAAATGCTCCCTCTGCGGCTTACCAGGGTGATCCTGAGGAGAGGGACGCGTTTGTCATGGAAAGAAGCAAAAAGGAGAAAACACGGTTTTCAAAGCCAGAACTGAAAAGGGCTCTTTTTCGTAAAAACACTGATGAAAATTTTCACAAGTTTGGTGGGTCAAAAACTGGATCTCGTGTTGTTCCTTGCCATGAAGACAACGAAGACTCAGTTGCTGTTAGTAATGGTGTCAAAGATCAAAACAAGAATGACAAAGAGAGTGAAGATTTATCTTTGATCCGCAACCAGTTATCTGAAATTGAAAAGCGGCAATCAAGTTTGCTTGATCTTCTGCAGGTTTGTTGCCAATGCTGGATCACCAAATTGCCTTAGTAATTTTTTATCTGTGTACTTGGCTTTAAGTGTGCGAATCTTTTGTAAGAAGGCTGTTTAATACTAATATAACATTCTCACTTATGCCGTAGCCTTTGATGAAGAATACTTCTCAGAGTTTTTTCTGTATTCTTCATACAGAGATTCATCGGAAGCTCACAAAATGGAATGCAATCTTTAGAGACTCGTGTTCATGGCCTTGAGTTGGCACTAGATGAGATCTCCTATGATTTAGCTGTATCAAGTGGAAGAATGGCTGATGCTGATGCTCCTGGTAGGACTTGTTGCTTGCTGTCGGGTGCAGAATTTTTAAGCTCCAAGTTCTGGAGGAAAACGCAGGGCCGGTATTCATCCTTCTCGATCTCTAGATCTGCCGGGACATCATCACTAGCTACCATGCACCACGGAGCTGACAAGAATTGCAGCATTGAGAGAAATCACAGATTAAGGTTCCGTGGTGATCGAGGTTTCATCACTAATCCTCTGGCAGAGATTCATTTGAACTCAAGGGGGACATCAAATATTGCACACGAGTAAAACCGGTAGATTCTCTTACCACTTCACGAAGCGTCTATTTCTTCAAAGTCTCATGCTTCTGTTGCTGCTAGATGAGGCCCATCTAGTCTTTAGGCACTATTGCCCATCCACTTACGAACATGCCAATGAGATTAGCAACGCCGGTTATTGCAACTCTTTTACATATGCGGTATAATTATTCTGCACTACTATCTATCTGTTTTTGGCCGAAATATTACTCGATATGGACTGCTATGTAGATCTTTCAATTCCGAATCAGCTTGGTGGAAGATCCCTTGATCAAGGAGGCCTGATGATGATCTACTCTTCATATTTAAACACGAGGTTGTTATGAAGTATCGCCATGAAAAATACTTGATGGTGTCGTGTCACTGTTGAAGGGTCTAGGGACTTAGTAGTTAGTACATGAATTCACGTTACTGCAAAATTTCTGGAGTATTCGTTAGTATTATTGATTCTTGGACAAGTCAGATTGGATGAAACCTATCGCAAGATACCCGCTTTCAGAGAGGGTTGATGAGTCCAGTATGCAGGACTGGCAGGCTGCTTAATTTTTGTCCCCTTTAGTTAATTACCACATTATATTCCTGTTATGTTAAAAATGTTAACTAGATGCACCTATACATTACAATTTAATAATTTGATAGCAATGCCTGTTCTCTTCTCCTTGCATTCCATCCTCCTGAACTGAGCATTCTAAATTGGAGTTGAGACAGGCCACCGTGTTAAGCGCGTTTTAGGTTGTATTTATGAAAGTGTATCTTTCCAAATTTTATTCAGGAGCCTTGCTGTCGATGAAATAAGGTTCAAGTTTATCTAACCCACAATATTATCTAGTTCAAAACCTGCGAGAGTAGCTTTGGAGCAAATTGACTTTTTAAATATATTGAGCAGTGTACATATATTTTGAAAAGAGCAATAAATTTATTAAAAATTTTAATATTAAATTTAAATCATTCATATTAAATCTGAACTGTCAGATTGATAAACATATTTATTAAAAAAATTTATATTTTTTATTTTAAAAAATAAAAAAAATAAAAACATTAAATTTAAGTAGTTTAAATTTATCTCCGCCCCAGCAGAGAGGCAGAGAAGGCTTTCCTCCAACAATAGCGTTACCCCTTACACTCAAGAACAAATTATTTATATTATCAATTTATATATAATAAATTTACAATGAGTTACTAATATGATTTTTCAAAAAAAAATGTAGTTATTTATATGTAATAACAGTATTATATATATTATAAATATAAATAATATATAATATTAAAAAACCTGTCTATTTATCCAATACAATAGAGATCCTCATTTTAACTTCAATATTCATTTTCATTGAATGACTCGAGAAAAAAACCGACTAAATACCTAGTCTAAACACATCCATACAAATCTAAGCAACTTTTATATTCCCTATCTTCATTCCACCTTACTTTGGTATCTAGACCTTGACAATGACTTCCGTTACTAGGATCTTCGATCTCAAGACCTCCATATCCTTTGCTAGCTAAACTTCTTCATCGATAAATCTAAAATAAAAAAAAAATATTAAATCTGATTCTAGATTTGTGGAAGGTGCAAGGAAGGCTTCTCTTGGCAAAGGAAAGCCAACTCCCAAAAATAGAGGCATATAGTGCGCAGCAACGTCACAGAGATCATTTTCTTTCCTCAATACAAAATGTTTATCATGCTACTGGACGGTGAACATAAACAACCCAAACCGTATTCTGTACCAATGCATGACCAAATTGTCGTATTTATTAATCCCTTAACACGAGCATTCAAAACTTCCTTCCCAGGCCGTATTTCTCCTCCGGAAGCCTCCCTTGTCCCGAACAACGTGACTTTAAAGAGAAATACTACCTCCAATTCAAAAAATAAACAATTTTTTTAAAATCCACATACTAATAAAATTTTCATTCTCATAATATGTATAAATATATATTGCCTTTTTTATCCTTAGTTTCAATTATCAATGCACTTCATGATAAATGACAAATTACTGTACTCAAAGATCTAGATTAATAAAAATACAAAAGGTAAGATGAAAAAAAAATTGCATGCACTGAGTTGTTTACATTTTAAATCAACATTAGCGAAGGTAAAATGCTTATATTTTAAATCGGAGAGAAGACAGGTTAGTGAAACGTAAATGAATCCCTAAAAACACTCATCAAAACGGCAGGACAATGATCCTAAATAAGATTCCTGGTTGATGATCAATATCCCTAGTACAACTTGAGTTACACTTTTCACATGATGTCCAAAAGAGGGCCTTCCAGAAAGTCTTTCGACGTCAAATGCAAGGAATAGATGCAGAGGGCTCGGTCCACTTGAAATTTTCAAAGCCACTCAACCTATTATGACTTCGTGACCATGCACTAATTATTGGCTCATCATTTTGACCCCTTTTTTCCCCAAAAAATAAAAGCTCACGTTGTATTTCTACAGTTTTAAGCGTAACGAGCAGATGAAATGTAAATATGTGATCGAGTTATGGGGTTTGGCTCTGATCATTAGAGTCCTGCCGTTCAAGTTTCTGCACCGAAAAAATATCAGATGTTAGGTGCATGCGGAAAGCAAATTTGACAACGGCAACGTGATAGCACATCAAAATCCATGATACTTCGGCAGCAGTAGCTATTATTAACAATCGAACCAAGTTGATTGCATTGAGCGACCTGAAATATCAATATTTCTACTAATTGAAAAAAAAAAAAAACACAAAACTAAATCATGGAAGAGACACGTATATAAGCAAGGTTAGGCAATTTTAAATGATAACAGCAAGTATCAAATTTCAGAAAAGGCCAAAAAAGGAATTGCATAAAGCAAAAGCGAAGCAAAATACAACATTCTAGGCAACGTCCTCACTATAGGAAACAAAATTTGAGAAGTCTAAGACTTTGCTCATTTGAGCATACTAGGGGATGGAATAAACTGAATTACTGAAAGGCAGCAGCAAACCGTGCAGAGTCCGCAAATTCCCAAGTTGATTGCTTGGAACCTTGGAGTGGGAGAGCACAATGATCAAGGTCCACTAGGAACATGATTAAGATCTCAAAATCTAATTAAACAGAAGCTGATTTAACCCCCTCATTTAAAACTTACAATAAACTGAAGCTAAATTTGTTTCCGAAGTCCAAATCCACAACCTACACTGTTACTCCTCTCTAACCCTTGAAATATGAACTCGGAAACCAAAAGTAAAAATTAACCCACCAAATCATCTCTAACCCATGCAGATAATATTGTGTGCCTAAACAGAACCTTCTGGCTGTCAACTATCCTCCATCTCTCCCAAAAGAAACAAAAAAGAAATTTTGCTGCTTCAGTTGAACTAGCAGTAGGTGGTAGCAATGGAGGGTGGAGAGAAAGTTTTGTCTGAGACATGTAAAAGAGCAAAACGAAACAAGAGGATAGGCCAAAATATAGGGAAGGAAATGAACATTTACAAGGTTTTCAACCAAAAGACTCGGATTGGGAGAAATGAAATACGGACTCTGGAGAGGCATTAGGGTGTGAACCCTGGTCCCTTCAATCCCCTTTTAAAATTCACCATTTTTCTCCTTATTTCCACCTCCCCCCTCATCCGCAACTTAAAGAATTGTAATATTCAGCAAATATACAAAAGGCCGTCCCATTGAAAAGGAAAATTCAGAATATGGCGATCGCACACCAATACCTCGGCAAAATGATCCTCATATTTTCAAGCACCACAACGTCAAAGCAAGAAAACAAGAAACGTGTTTGCAGAGTTTGGCAAACTAGATACAAATCTATAAACCAAAAAGCTTCGACGCTTCCCCTACATGAATTAAAACATGAAAGTTTCTATTCCATAGTGCAATCAGAAGACTTGACTTTTGCAACAAGAATAGAAAGGATCATATATTCTTTTTCGAATTGAAAACAATTGAGTGGATTTATTCCATGCACAATCACGTCCATCAATCAACCTGAATTTAAAAGCATCAACATTCTGTATCGCAATCTTAAAAGCTTCTTTACACTACGCGCCCAACGTCTAAAACTAATCTTGTTAGATTATACAGGGCAATTGTCACAATCCTCATCCCTACGTTCAGGCTATTTTATAATCACTGGAAAATTAAAAGAAACTGTCACAATTATACAATTGGATGCTGCCAGAAGTAAAGAAAGATCCGAGAAAAAGAGGTAGAGAGAGATAAAGCACCGATTGAGCATTGTGCCAAGCAAGGCCTCGATAGACATTGACTGAGAAAGTGGCAGTGAGGTAAATGGTAGCGATTCCGAGACCCGCCGTGAACGCCTTGAATGCACAGTCTCCGACCTTACTCGCTGCTCCCATTCTCTCTTTCCACTTCGTCTCTCGATCTTTTCCAATTACTCTCAGTCTAACTGCAATCACTTGTGAACCTCTATGTTCACCAATTTAGGGTTTTTGCCGAGATATTAAAGTTTCATTATAATTTTATTTTCATGTAAAAAAATTATTATTATTATTATTTGCCAAAATCCCCTCTGAAAAATCAAAGGTAAAACAAATATAGAGAGTAGAAGAATGCAAGCTCGACAACAAATGGAGATTGAATTTAATAGGATTGGCTAATCTGACTCTCACAAGGTGACAAATTAATCATGACCCATTTTAATTAGATGTTTTTGCAAATATGATCTATACTATAAGACCAAACTAAATAAACAATTTAACATTTATTATAATTTGTATTATGACTATTTTATTGTATTTTCCTACAATATACTATTACATATTGATGATTATTTTTTTATATATTAATAATAAATTTTTTATATATTAATGTAAATTCACCACATTTTTAAATTTTTAAAAATTTAATATATATTTTTTAGCACAAGATTTTTTTGGTTAGTAGGCCAATTTTTAAAAATATATTCACATATTGATTTAATTTGAAAAACACAAGAACTAATAAATATTTTATCTTTTTTGCCTTGTATAATTAATATATTTTTGGTATTAATACTATATATATAATTAATTTATGCATAGATTTATAACTAATTTGATTTGTTTACTATCAATAGATAAAATTAGAAGCCTCATAAAAAATTGGTTCATCGATGTCTCAAGCCTTTAGGTTAGACCCTTTAGAATTCTTGAGTTGTATTAAATTCTCAACCAAGTGTGTGTTTGGATTTCCCATAAAATTGATTATGTTGACTACAACCGTGATTTGAATTAAAAAAAAAATCCAAAAACCTCCATTTGTTTATAATCAGTTGCTTAGGGGCTATGACCATGTTCTAGTCTTTCACTGTTGCCTACATTTATTGGTTGTCAAAATGTTGACTTGTCAAATATACCCCTCTCACATTCCCCTCCCTCGATCCTGTGCGTCTTTGCTCTCACGGGGTTTCATTGTTTTGGGTGTTTTTTGTGTGCTCTTGCTCCACTGTCTTCTCATCTTGCCAAATCTATTTATTTTTCTACACAAATTAAATTATTAATATTACAATATAATATAATTTAAATTTCTAATTAATTAGTATATAATTATATAAACATTAAATGGATTACTATTATAGATATTTTAATTCAACAAATTTAACAATATTATATACAACTTCCCTAATATTTATATTTTAAAAAATAATGTCATTTATGATAATTTATACACTTAAAATTGATTTTAAATAAAAATATTTAAACATATTCAATTTTATCAAAATTAATTTCATAAAATAATATCTAAACATTGTCACGTTATAATATAATTAATTATAATCAAAATTAATTACACTAATTAATTTTTTTAATTAATTATATCCAACTGAAATTCAAATGAGCTCCACAAAATGCCTACCCCTCAATTGCTCAAGTGCATTATGAGTGAGAAAGAGAGATTTTTAGTTGAAGTAACAGTATAAAAAACAAAAAATTTATACAGCACTTGAGCAATTAAGATAGGCGATCTTCATGGGATCCAAGCTCTTGTTGAGTCTTTTTCTTCAAGCATTCATTTCGATAGCTCCAACTCCATTTAGCCAAGCAAAGACGATGAAGAAACTTTGCTCCATTTGACAAAATTTCTATTTGGATTATTTAATAAAACTGCCTCCCCAAAGGACAGCAACATCCCTCACATGTAAATTATGTTATACAGAACATACTGTTTATTAACTGCTAAGGATAGAGGAAAAGTAGATATATGCATATATATATATATATATATATATATAATAGGAAGACAAATAATTATTAACACATTCTACTACTCTGCCTCAACCATCCTCCAAACACCATCTTCTGACACAATAGTGCTTCAAAGTTCAAATACTCTCCTATCTCCATCAGGAATCCTCATCTATTGCCACCATTTCTTCTCAGACAAAGATATGAGCTGCAAAACAAAAAATGGTGAAAATTATCAGCTTCTCTCTTGTAAATAACCACAAGCATGCTTTTACAACTACTGTATAAAGATGCCATTCATGACTGAAATGTTTAAACAAGAGAAGTTTCCAATAAAGGATTTCATGGTTCAGAAAACCTTCAACAAATTACCCTAGTGATTTCTGGAGTTTTAACTTGATTTTCAGTTTAATTCTTATAATTTTGTAACCAAGTCCGTATGAGAAATTACAATTTGGGAGCTTTCATTAAACCTCTTCAATGAGTCATTACATTTTTTTATCTTAACACTTTGAATATGCATGGTTTGTACCAATGAAAGGACTTGTAATCGTAGTGTAAGACGTGATACCACCAAGGTTAGGTGACTCGGATGAGTTGTCATGCACAAATAAGGAATGTCTAGTGTCAAAATGACACACCCATTGGAAAAATTTATTTGCATACTGATACGGAAGTCAAAATTTTTTCTAAAACTAGAAGGACTTAGTTACAAACTCCTAAAGCATAGAAATCAAATTAATAACTAAGTGACACGCTGGGATCAATAGAGTAATTTTCGTTTTCCATGCTTATTTCCTTTTCTTGTTTTAGGAGTTAAAATTAAGCAATGAACTATTTTGACGTCAAAGAGAAGCAAGCTTCCACTTTATGGATGGAACCTGTTAGGTGCTCAAGGGTAATAAAAGAAAATAAAAGGAATAAATTTATCAAAATAATATAGAACAAAGATCTTGTTTTGTAATTCTTTTAATAGCCACGGTAAGAAAAATTTCTTAAAGATTTAAAAGACTGTTTTATTGATGATATACTAGCTTGAGTTGCTAGATTTATAAAGCCAAATACAATCCAAAATACTAGATGAAATCTGAATAACTAAGTAATTAAATAAAAACTGAATAAAATATCCTAAAATCTATATCTAAATGAAATGTTGATTAAAATCTAAATAAATTTTAACGAACTAAATATCTAAATAAAATCCACTGAAATCTATCCTAAATAATTCCAAATTCAAATCCAATAATAACAATAATATAATTAGACTTAATTTATCTTTTGTCACTTCTTTCTTGAATAAGTTTTTAATGGAATCTTATCAGAATCCATCTTAAGATTCTCTGCAACCACAATGTTGGAATTAAGAACAGATGTTGATACTTAACATATATTCAAGCTGGCAGAACAATGTTAATCAACCAAGCACACAGCCATTTTTTGATTCAGCTTCTTACGTTTAGATACAATTTCTATTAAGGGAAAACGCAGAGATTTTTTCTTTTTCTGGTAGAAACTGCAGAGATATTTAAATATAATTAGTTATGAAACTCGTACAGATATATAAACTCAGAGAAACAATAAAAAAAGCTTTAAAAAGGTTGATAAAGGTCTGAAATGCAGCCAACAGACACAAAATCCTCTATTTCATCCTATTCAGAGCAACCATCAGTTTGAAGATTCAAGTAACTTGTAATACTCCAGTCCTTAAAACAAGTCACCTTTAACTATCTCACTAGAATTAAGAAAAGTTAGTTGTATCATTAAAATGGTCTAGAAATTACTTCGGTTTCCACTTTTATCTCTCATAAACACCATACATTTGAAAAACATATACTCTCTATCCCCTCATTAGAAATTGAAAAGAAGGGCATTTTTGGAATAAAGCAATTAATGCTCCACAAACTCTTGTAAAGTGGCATGTTTTGAACCATCAAAATCTTCTTTGGCAAAAAAAAAAAAAAAAACCACAAAACTCTTCTAGAAGGTGACTTATAGGACCAAAGGGAGTAGTATACTTTTTCCAGTAAAGTAATTACTTTGCTTGTTAATCAAGAGAAAAATAAATGGGTTGAAATGCTTTTTGCTCCAAAAGTATTCCTAAAGAAGCTATGGGCATCCAAAAGAAAATTGTGGAGCATTATAACATGTAATCTTTCAAAACCAGCGCAATGTTGCCCTTTTTCAAAGATCAAGGTTAAGTCAACTATTAGTGTAGGCTGGGAAACTTTAAACTGTTAAAAAAAGGCAACATTACACTGGTCTTGAAAGATTATGTGCTACATTGCTCCATAATTTTCCTTCGGGTGCCTTCAGCTCCTTTGAAACTACTTCTAAGGCAAAAATGCATTCTAACTCAAAGTGAATTGGTTGCAAGTTGCCTTCTAGGTCATTTAGGAAACAATATCATGTGAAACAAATATTCACATCATCACATTCTATGATTTTAGAAAAATGCATGTGAGTGCTGGTTAATGGAAAATAATGTCAGCATATTAGAAGCATCATTTGTTATATATGAAGGGATTACCAGAATCGTAAGCTAAAGTCATCAAAATACAAGCAGTCAATTAATGCCCGTTTGGATCAAAATTGAGGAAAGAAGAGATTTAAGGTGCACAAAGTAAATTTAGTAAGCATTTGACAAACATCAACTTTGTGTCAGGATAAAGGCAAACTAAGTTATGCAACCTATGGTCAAAAGGTATCTATTCTAGGGTCAATAATGTTTGGGGTAAATGTGAAAAAAATTTAAATTGCACAAATCGCAAGCAATATATTAATAAGCGAATACAACTAGAGAACATATCAGCTTAAATATAAAAAACTAAATAAATATGACACCCATATTCCTATAAAGATGCACAGTCAGAATATTGGATCAACCGGAACCCTGAAGTCAAGAGAAAAGTCTTTGAATCAGCTTAAAATCCTGATTCTTTAAAAATGTACCCAAGAACACCATGGTAGTGCTTAGTGGACCCAGTTTGGGTGCTTATCGCAGTGATGAGCACTAGATCTGGAAATCTGGATGGTCCAGATTTAAACCATTATTATATATTATATCACTGTAATGAGCGCTCAAACCAAACTCGTGCTTAACAATTCACAAGAAGACCGTCTGACTTCATTAAAGTGCCACATTAATCATCAAGATGAGTTGGGTAGAAGGGAAGGAAAAGATATTCTTCATGAAGGGCGTCTTAGGGAATAGTTGGAGAATTTAAAGACAGGTTTAAAGACTTAATATTGCTTAAATAATCTTGTGCTGTCCCACAGACACCCTCTTTCTTCCTCTCATTCTCTCTCCAAATTGAGAGGCTCCTTGTCGAATAATGTTGCATCTAGAGGATGGTACTGTCAAAGAGTTAAATTGAATAACTTATTTGTACAAACATTCCAAGCGTCCAACCAGAATCAATGGGTTTTAATGATAGAATATATTACATGAAGGTAACCATCGGACTAAGATTCAAGTGCTGGTAACGATTACATAGATGACTTCAGTCAAATATTTTCTTCAATATAGAAAAGTTTTAAGACAAAATCCAATAGATCTCTTCCACTTCAATGCAGAAAGGATCAAATACGAATATATAATAAAATTTACCAGCTAATGGTTCTCTTTTTCAGTCCACTTTTACACTGCGACATATTATGCAAATCAAAGATAAAAGTAAAATGAACAGGACAAGAAGATTTATAAGAAAACCATACCCCCTTTCCTACCCAGCTTTTCTGCCAGCGGCAGTACCAGCTGCTCATGTAATACATAAAAACCAACCTATAATGACCATGGAGACTATTAAATTTTCAATTCTATTTTCACATTCAACATGTCCCTTCAATTATTTACTTTGGAAGCTATAGCAGTTTATCCTTCATTCATATTCCATTTATATATATACTCTCTCTGGTTCCTATTATAAGACACTTTCTAGAATAATTTTTTTCTCCTTAATATAAGGCACTTGATGGGGTATTAATTAAACTTTTTCAATATTACCCTCATTTAAAGTCATTAAATATGAAAAAGAATGTAATGTAAACTTGAAAAAATTTTATTTATGGGTAAAATTGAAAGCTTGTTTCATTTTTAAACAAAGTTAATGACTTAATCACCTCTCCTTGGTTCTGGTGAGATGATTAGAGGTGCCTTATAATAAGGACCAGAGGTTTTGCTAAGGTACACAGCCTAATTCTTATATAATACAATGCCTTGCAATGCTATTAAAACTTACTACCAGCTAAGTTAAGAAGAAAAAGTTTGCTTCTCCATAATCCAACTAAGAATACAGATAGCAGAAGGGACAAAACTGTTGGTTTTAAGAAAAAGCTAAATTCTTGGAGTTGTTTGTGAGATTCTTAAGGCTAGTAGGTTACCATTTGTAGCAACTAATCCTTTACTCTAACCAAGGTATCCCAACTCGACCAAAGATCAGTGCTTAAGTCAATTTCATCAATTCCTTTTGGTCACCAATTGGCCATTTGGTCTTCCATATCTTCCACTGAGCTTCCAGCTATATCTCTTAGAGTAATACAAAACCACATAGGTTGCACATGCATGGATAGATAATCACAAATGCAATACCTAAAAGAATGAGGGGAAAATTTTTGAATGTAAATTACCAACCTGACGGGCAACCTGTGCTAGCTGCCGGCTGTCACGAGATGATTCTGTTATTGAACAGGATTTCTGAGGCTTGACATGTTCATTCTGCTTCACTTCACACTTTTTCTTTAAACTGCTCTCTTCAAGAGAGCAATCCACATCAGGGCTACTTTGAGTATCCTTGCGTTTTCTTTGGAATGTGTACTTGAGAAGCCTGTTGTTTGCTGGTTGACAAGAAACCTTCTCATCTCTATCAGATGCTTTAAGATCCTGTTTATCAGACAACTGATTAGCTGCCTCAAAATTGGCTCTGAAAGCAGGAACCTCCAATCTTTCCATAGACAAACTCTCTTGTCCTGTTAAATAAGATTTATGAAACCGTTCCTTATTATCACTCATTTCATCCCAAGAACAGCCAGATTTTAGGAGCCCTTTCTCCTTTTTGGCATCGTTTTGAGATCCTGATAGTTTATTCATCACAGTTGTTTCAGTGGGTACTTTAGCAGAAGGAGACATCATATCCTTTTGAGCCTCATTTTCACATACCTTAGAAGAGTTTTCCTTAGACGGATCATTGGTATCAGATGCATATAGAGAACTATTTGTGCAAGAAAAGCAAGATGCCTTAGTTTCCTCAACTTGGTCAGATTCAGAAAATCTAGATTCCAGTTGCTTCCTTCTCTTAATTCTTCTCTTTTTTCTACAAATTGGCAACTTAGCTAATACTTCCTCTTTTGAAGTGCCATTTTGAATTCCAAAAGAAGTTCTCTTTTTCTTACAAAATGGCAGTTTGACAAGGTCAGCATCAGCACTTGCCACTTTAAGTTCACCTAGTTTCTCTGCTTGAGAAATAACATCATTTTTGGTATCAGTTTTTTTGGTTCCTTTAACTTCTTGACTATCCTCACCTCTTCTTATTAATGTTTCATTCTGCACATCATCTGCATTTCCGGAAAGAGATATATTTCTGCCAAACAAGCTCCTTTCAAAAGTATGTATTCTCTGAGTGCATCCGTTTCGGCAGAGGTCAGGTGCTCTTCTTCTAATGACTATAGAAGCAAAATCAGGGTTATGAATGTGGCAATTATTTGTGTGATCATATGACAGACAACTCTTACAGCTCTCATTTGAACCATTTACAATTGAATCCTTCACGTCATGTGTTGAGACTGATTCAAACTGTAAATTGGGCTCATAATACAAGGATCTGCAAGGATCAAACTGGTCGTTTATTACAATGTTTTCCTGAGGTGCAGCTTCATCTTCTACGTTTTGTTTATCCAGGGGATGCATTAGGTTGTTTTTCACCTTCTCTAATGTAGGCTGTACGTCTCTCAACTCTTCTCTTAGGTCCCTAACTATTTCCTCAGCTTCCTGGAGCTGTGCTTCAAGTTCCTCAATCTTCTTCTTCTGAATAAAAGATGTAGTATCTGCTTCCCTAACCTGTAAAATAGCCATGAATCAAGCAAAACAATAGTTAAAGAAAATCTCTTAGAAATGAATTAACTCAAAGGGCCCCACAGCTAAAATTCAAACAACAATAGCTTGGATAACTGCAAACATGGTCAATAAGTGCCAAACTTGTCAGCTGAAATTAGGGCCAAAACTTAATCAACATAAAATACAACAGGAGAAACTATACTTGTTTACATAGTCCCCAAAACTAGCCTAATTTGTAAGACAATTAAAAAACATGAAAAGTATACTACAAGGCATCACAAAGATATATTCACCGCAAGTTCCTTCTCATTAACCCAAACTGGCAAAGGTTAAAGGTTAACAAGAGTGCCCAGATTGTTCTCATAGAACTAATTCAGGTTATAGCAATTGCTCATTTGCAAAATTCTTCCAGGCACGGATAGATGGAGAGTTGGAGTTAGAAAATTGAGAAAAATGCTAGATGATCCATCCAACACTGATCAACACATACATATGATATACTTTGCCATATGTTGATTGCATTCCTAGAGTGATCACTATGAGTGTCAAAGAGAAATAACAACACTTTACAGCAAGTCACTTGTTATTGTTTATACTCTCTACTAGTTATGACAAACATAATCCTGAAATTTAAAGATGATAAAACTGTAAATGCTACCAAACTCCTCTGTGCTTTTAAAAGGAAAAACACAAGACAGGAACAGCATTCGAAATAATCAAAACAACTTTTTCCACAATGGATATCTTAGAATTGAAATGTCTAGCACCGATGATATTAACGGAAGGCGTGATAAACTGCGACTCAAGCATTGCTTTTCAAAGATAACCACACTTAAGTGAGCGCAAGGTATTTTAGCAGCTCTACAGCCACAAACAAATTATATATCTCTGGCATCCTGAATTCAGTCAAACTGTTTTTCAAGTAAGTAGCCAAAAATTCGTTCCAAAATAATCAAATGAAGTGAAAGGACAGAAATTTTCTTGATCGCCTGGAATCTCGCACTAAACCCGCAGCACAAAAAGCACATATTAGAGTAATCCACAGAGAGATCAACCAAACTAAAGAAAACAAAGAAAAAGAGAAGCAAGCAAAAGCACTTGAGAGTAAAGAATATACTTTGGAATCCAACATTTGTTTAAGCCTAAGAAGCATCCGAAGTGACTCCTCTTTAGTCGAAACCAGCTCCCTTTGGAACCTCACGACTTTTCTCTCCGACACCATTACACGAGCCGCCGCCTCCTTCGCCGTATTGAGGATTATATCGGCATAAGCCTTCTTCAACGCCGTCAATCGCTGCCAACAATGTTAAAAACGCCATACCAAATCAAACCCATAACTCAAAACCAAGAAGAACAAACGAGTACTAAAACCATTCCCCGGAAACCCAAGATTTCCGCGAACACAAAAATATAAAAGAACGAAGACCCAGCCGATGATGGAAGAAGAAATAGTGGTCACAGTTCAGAAGTAAGGTGTGAGATTGTTGACCTCGGAATACTCCATTATCGACTAGTGCATCAGAAAACAGAGGTTAGGTGCTTCGGACAAAGTTGCGAGGGAGGACGGCAAGGGAGTCTACTTCTGTTTTTACTCTTCGCAGGAGCAGCTAAGTCTGTTAACTGAAAGCGCCACCGTAATTACCAGACTACCCCAGTCACATATAATCACGAAACTGCCACTCTATTTGACGAACCTCAAGTATGAGAGAGAAAGTGGAGGGCCCAGCAGGCCTGCTGAAAGTGGCGACGTGGAGTTAGCATTTCAGGCGTACGGCGTCGTTTCGTGGAGTGAAGGCAAAGAAAGTCTGAAAGTGAGGCTGTTTGGGGTTTGACAGTTGGAGAACCGACCGAGTGCTCTTTTCCATTCTCAAGTCAACCTGTTTCAACCTATTCAGACCGCCTTTAATAATTCCGAGGAGGCAAGCATACATATAACTTAATTTAATTTTAAATTATATTTTTTTCATTTTTACTACGTCCTCAATCCTCATAGTTATCTTAGAAGGGTTAGTCCATCTAATCATACGTACTCGGTTAATAATGATAAAGTAGGTAATAAGGCATGGCTGACCATATATATTTATTGGAACAGTTTGCAATGCAAAATTAATTTAGCATAATTAATAGAGTATAACTAGAAAGAATAATCCCTTTAATACAGAGAACCATGAGAATTTAATTAAAAAAATATAGAGACTTGATTTAAAATTGAGTAGACTAAAAAATTGAGAAATTTTTCTCTCTTTCATTTTTGAAATAAAAAACCACAAACAACCCAAGTATTACCACGCTAGGTCTTGTTTACTTTAATGTACTGATTTTAATTTAATTAATTTATTTAATAAAAATTATATTCTCTTCTCTTTAAAAAAACATATTATACGGGTCTATGTTATAACCCTATATCCAAAGTTATATTAAACTAATTTGACTAGTTCACTTTCAGTTAGGGCAAGTTTTAAATGACATGGCTCTTCTAGAAATATATATCCTCGATATTCATACGAACTTGAACCCAAATCATCATACCAGAGAGGAAATTAAAGGAACATGCCGGTTGGTATGTTGCCTTGTAAATTATTTAACCACACTTTCTAATATTTTCTATTGACATCTATATCCCACAACACACGCACGGAAACTTTTGGCTTTCGCTTGGTTTTTTATTCTTTGCTGCAGTCTCCGGTAATTGGGAGAATTAATATCAATAATAGTATGTGCTAGTATTGATGGAGATCAAGAATATTAAAAATTAAAAATATTATTAAAAAGAATATCATGACCTTATTGCTGCTTAGCCTGCAGATTGATCTCTTTTGGTATTAATTACCTAGATATTATAATCTTATTATCTCATTAATCTGCAAATGCCATCTGGAATAAATAAATAAATAAATAAAAAACTCAAGAACGTGACTTCTATCTTATGTCCCGTGTCGTGGATAACAGCATGTTTGATATTCAAATCCAACCATATCATCATGCGACTATAGTGTTCCTACTATAGTGTCTTAACTGCCTCATTTTTTCATGCGAAATTAAAGTAGAAAATAAAGTCTTAGTGAGAAATCGAGGGCAAGATTCACTAGAAGATGAAGCTTCCTGTACATAGGATACCATCGAATTATTGACTATCGCTGAAGACCAAATTAATGCAATTTAAAGTTGTCCGATGAACTAATGCATTGGTTTTTATTATTAACTTCATAATTTAAATTTTAGATGCATCAGAGTGTCTTGTAAAAATTCGCAGAAAAAAAATCTCTGTGGCCAGAATCAACATATTGATAAGACTTTTTCCCTTTCACTCATCTAAATGTATCTCCGTCATCTATGATTATTCGCCTTCCTTCAACTCATATCGAATCATTTGCACCACGGTCCATCGTGGTTGTTTGAATGTCTCTCCTGTCATTTCATTTTTATTTATTGTAATTCACAATTAGTTTGAAGTTGTTCATTCAAGATTCAACCGTTAGATGATAATGAAACCAATGGCTAGAAATGGATCGGATGAACTCTTACGCCTAAAAACAAACCTAAAATTTTAAAGAGCGAAGCCCAGAATCTAACTCACGAAGCCCAACAAATTAATAAGGCCCATTTTGAAGTTTTGGGCTCTAAAATAATCACGTTTAATAGTTTTTTCTTCCATGAAGTATCGGAGTACAACCTAACGTAATCCCACTATATATTGAAGTTTTAGAATGGAAACTTGAAAGCGATGGAAGTTTTAAAGGTGCTCCCAATCTTTGTTTATCCTTCCAATACTGTTAGTTATTTTCAGTTATGATTTTTTTTTTAATATGGTATCATATATCTAACACTATCGAGTTAATTTCGAATACTATGAAGTTTAAATATGGTAACTTTTCTAAAAGTATCTTTCACATTAACAAGATGTATGCTTGAGTTTTATTAGTCTGGATTTCGGCATGACTACTGCACATGAGTAAATTCAAATAAACTTGTAAAAATAGTATAGAGTCCCACAGCAGTGACGAATGCCAATTCTTGTACTGAAACTGAAAGTGAGGCACGCTAGCTACTTATAATAATTTCGTATTTATGAGCTATCTTGCTTAATTAAGTTCAACTCTATGTATTGCAAATCAATTCAAATTCAGTGACAATTACACATCATAGCGCACATACATATATATTGCATTGGACCATGTTGTTCTTGCTCAAGTAAGAAAATGAGTAAGTTTATTTATCCTAGCTGCAGCTGTTTACATTTGACAGATCACAGACTGTGTCACCGAAGTTGAAAACCTGACACAAAGTTAAAGTCATTGCTGGGAGAAACATGAAAAGGGTTTCAAAGTAAAAAAGCAGGGTTGCAAAGCGCATAGTTTGCCGGTGGGGTTCGGAGGAGCTAACGTAGGATAAAATATTCTGACAAAAGAATAGTAGGGCCCACTCGTTGAATCATTGTACCTGCATGCATCTATCAGCATGCCTTCGTCCTTCCCAACTTGCGTTACGGCCCCTATAATCCTTTCACATCCAATGTTGGATTCTTCTCTCTTCTCCTGTCCCTTTCATAGTTCATTTTCGACCGGAATTAATTATAACTCCATTTAAACTGTTTTGATTTATATAAAAAAAAATTACACCTAAATCCCACAGAAAAAAATTATTATTTAAAAATTTCATAAAATTTATAAAATATTCTTAAATTTTAAATCCTATACATTTACGACTTGATTAAAGACGTTGACGGTCAAGCAACGGCCATTTATAACTTGTAAAAAAAAATTCTTTAATCAAGTTATAAATGTGTAAGATTTAAAATTTGGAAGCATTTATAAAATTTATAAAAAAAATTTTTATATGAAAGTAATTTGTCTTATAAAAAATGCAGATATAGACTAAACAGCCTTTTTGTTTTTTTGGGGGCTTCAATTCGGATATGGACCAAGATAGGGAGAATCCTGAGCCGATTCATATGGATATTGTGTTGTCTAGTTGTCTTGTTCTAGAGGGACCACACTTTGGTGGAGTCCAGGATGTCGTGGGGCCCCCTTTCGTTCCATGGAACTCGCATGTGTATCATGCTCTCTAATTTGTAATTTGTATCTCCCATCACATATACTCATTTGATCGTATTTATATAATAAAAAAATAATTTTGATATTATTTATAAGATATTTTATTATTTTTTATATTTATATTTATCTTTTTGATCTTTTTAAAAATTAAAAAAATATTAAAAATAATTATTTTATTGTTATCAAATGCAGGGTTGAAAACTTATTAAATTTTAAGATAGAATTAATAAAATTTAAAGCTTTGTTTAATTTTCATAAAATATGCTAGAAGTGGATTATAAATAAGATGAGAAAGAGTGTATAATATTGTGTGCATTAAGGTGCTAATTTTCTTAACCAAGATAGTATCCAAACAAGACTTTAAATATTCCCTCCGTTAAAAAATGTAAGATATTTTTAACCAAATCTTATCCCCAATAATGGTTACCTACTTTAAAAATAATTTTATTTTTTATATTTATCCCTATTAAACACCCTATAATAAATATAAAGTCATTCATCAATAGAGGTAGATTTAAAAAAAAGGCAATGATTACACCTCCAAAGACTAAAAATACTTTATATTTTTTAATATCTAATTTTTTTAAAAAATATTTTATATTTTTAAACGAAAGGAATAACTTTTAAGGGTTTCAATTTGATTGATGTCCATGCTCAAGATAAACAAAAAACAAAAAAAGAAAAGAAATTTAATGTCCACTCATGGTTTAGATGATTTAGTTTAATTGATAACAATCATCGACATAAAATTTAAAGTTTACATTAATAAATAATACTATTTATACCCTACAAACAACTTGACTTGTTAATGAAATCTTGCGTGGCGTGTGAGAAAAGTATGTAAATTGTAATTGAGCTCAACTGCTTTTATTAGAGCTGCTCAAAAGATAGAATGGCAGTGAATTTTAACCTAATCCAAAGTCCAATCTCTTTTATAAAAAAGATTGGATTAGGTAACCTATAGTCCAATCTTGTCCAATGATAACTCAAAAATTAACAAAACTGGACTTAGTCTATAGAATTGAGAGACTGATCCTGTCAGTTAAATACTCACTTAGCTTTTTTTTTTCTTTTTATTCTATGAGAGACAATAATCCATTTCAACATAATAAACTCAATTAAGATAGTAAAAACACTTATAGTAATAATAAATTCATAATAATTTCTAACAATAAAAAAAAATATTTCTATTATAGTTCAAATAATTTAAATTTATAACTTTAATAAAAACAACACTCAATAAAATTCAACAACACTACATTACAATAACAATTTAGAAATAAACTCAACAAATCCTCATACAATCATCTCCTTAGTATCAATTACACTTCAACTATTTGTCAAAAATAAATTAATTATAATTATAATAAAAAAAATAATAGGACTGGACTGGACCAAGTACTCTGAATGCATAGTCTCTTATCCAATCCAACCTGAAAAAATAGTCTGATCTTTTCAGTTTTTTTGATCCTGAAAAATCAGTGTCTATACGAACCGAACAAGACTGAGACTATCTCAGATTGAACTGAACTAGACAGGACTGAAAGACTTTCCTACCATCCTAACTTTTATTATAGCCAAGAATATGGGCTATA